CTCTATGGTGGGCTACGGGCTGGCCCGGCACACTGGATGTGCCATGCTTAACGGGCCAGCATGGCCCCAAAATCGGCCCATAGGGCCATGCCTGGGCTGATGGCCAGGCATGGAGCCCTCTCCGGCACGGCACGGGAGGCACGGCGTGCCGTGCCGGCCCGACTCCCATCAGGCTGTGCCTGGCATGGTCCGTGCTGGGCTAGGCTGGGCTGGCCCGATGGACATCTATAATGCCCATGGAGGGCGTCCGAACGGAGCTTCGGACCCAGACCGGGGTGGCCCCAACCATGCGCCACGGGTCTAGTTGCTTGCTACAGCCAATGAGTGCCTGCCGCACATCCTAGTTGAATCCACTCGACCGTTGCCACGCGCAACGGTCACTGACACGCGTCCGTAGTGAGCTCTAGACCCATGGTCTGGACCAACGACGACCTCAGTCCGGAGCACACTAGAGATCAAGGCTGAACCCCCAACAACGCTAAAAGTCGAGGAAGCTAGTGTCTAAGTGCAGTCCCAATGTTACAAACCACACATAGTTTCTATGCATATTAATTTATGTATGCAGTCCACATAGAAACTATGTTTCTAACGAATAGTTTCTAGTTTCTACATAATAATTTTTTGTTCAGTCATGCCTTCTCTCTCCGTCATCTACCTATTATATCTCTTCATGTCTTGGTTCCTGTATAGACATGATTCTTGTCTAAGAAATCATTTCCTCATGTGGTTTCTAGGTTGAGAATGCTCTAAAAGCTGGCTTTGAAAAATCCCAAGCTATGCCAATAAGCAGATGCTAGTCAAAGTAAAAAACTAAAACAAATTTCAATTGGTGAGAGAAGCATTTCTAGTTTTGTTGAGGTCAGAAGCTAAAGATTTATTACAGGAGTCAATAGAAAAAAAATCCCACAGACATGTAAAGCCAGTTTTTCAGATAAAAGGTTTGGATTTTTTTTTTGCTAAGGATTTGAAAATTTAGAGATTTCATTATATGTTTACTGGGTGACTGGTAGAACCACAAATTGCTGGTTTTCAGTGATTCTCTGCTGAAATTCTGAACCCTGACGGCCTGACCCAAATAATCCGCTTTAGCGCTCTCTTTACATCCACTCCATAGCATCCCTGTAAATTCAAAAACTCCAAAGTAAAATGCAATGGGAAAAAGTTGGAATAGTTAATCTGCTGTGGTACCAACGGAACAGTTGGAAAAACAGTGGGAGTGTTTGTATCAAAACACGAACATATTAGTAGCTCCGGCAGTTGCACATTGATTAAAACGGGCTTACTTGGACCAATGGGCGGGGAACTTTCAAAGATTCGATACCTGACCCGACTGCATGTCCAGACGGGATAGATTGGTACTCCCACCTGTGTATTGAATTTATATCTGTTTCATCTTTTTCACGTGGCGAAAGTGACATGTCTCGTAACATGCTCGAGGCTCTCCCTTGTACTTATAGGGTTGTAACCCAATGATATTTTCATTCACCAATATGAATATGTAGATCTTACTTTCATATACTTCCGTGGAATAATGAACTTATGGTCTATTTGGATAAAAGAGCTAATTGCTACTTCCTCCGTCTCAAATTATAAATTATTTTAAAACTTTCTTGAAGAGTTAAAGCATTTCAAATTTGACCAAATTTATAAAAAAATAATAATATTTATTATACCAAATAAGTATCATTAAATGTTTTCTTAATCATATCTTTCTAGTATAACTATTTAATGTCACAAATCTTTGTAATTTTCTCTATAGTTTTGGTTAAACTTGATATGCTTTGAGTCTCCAAGAAAGATAGAAGGACTTATAATTTAGAATTGAGGAAGTAGCTAGCTAAAAATTATCTGTGGTGCATCCAAACAGAAGGGCTAAGAGCATCTCCAAGAACTTTTCTAAATCTCACTCTCTAAATCATTATTTGAAGAGTCATTTGCATAAAACTTGATTTCTATATCTTTTCACTCTCCAACAGTTCTATATTTCGTGCATACTCTAGAGAGTCATTTTCGTCTTCTATTTTTGGCCAGAGAAAAATCCGAAATAGAAGATGGTTATATTTAGATAACCATTTAGAGAAGCTACTTGAGAGTAATTTTTCACCAAAATCCTTATTCCTAGCATTTAGGAATGATATGGAGGGTCTCTTGGTGTTCATCTAATAGGTGGGCTATTTTTTTAGCTAAGCCTTTAACTAATTGTTAGCCAACTAGTCAGCCAACCTTAACTAATAAATTAATTTTGAGTCTAACTAGTAACTAGCACTAGTTAAGAGTCTTAAATCATAGTTTGGTTGACGTGACATTAGTTTGTGAGAATGTGGCATAAGCAAAATAGTCGAATCGATTTAAAATTTGGTATAGGAAATAAGGGGACCATGCTTCAGAATGTTCATCCGCAGCAAGAGGGAAGGGGAACAAATTTAAAGCAGCAGGTTCAGGGCCGTGTCAGCATTGATCGGCAAATGCCGGTGTCCATTCGTATGAGCAAAAGTAGGGCAGCCCTGAGAGACCGCCCTATGAATTGGCAGTTGGATATCCAGATGTTGCAGTTCAACGCTCAAAACCGGTGCACCTAATCCTCCCAATCTCTAGCCATACATAACCTGTGCATATATAATGTGGTCCTTTTTATCGTATTTTGATGTGCCAGTTTTTGCTTTGACAGTGTTTGATACATGCATGGAGAGTGCAGCCAACAGAGAGATTAAGTGTTTTTTTTTCTTGACAGCATTTCTGCATGATGTGTCACAACAGACGGATGGTTGATGGTACCACAAGGAACACGAAACCAAATGGATTGTATGTTTTTAGATATGATATAATAAAAAATAATCATCAAAATTACGAGATCAAACAGTAGCACATATATCAAACAGATAAAGATGTTACTGATATTTTTACAAAAGGATGAGGAAGGTGTCAAAATTTGATGGCTAATATTATTTAACACTGTTTAACCTACTCCCATTGTATCAAGTAAAGATCATTAACATATTTATCTCACTATTACTATAAGGGTCCCCGTCACATCGGACATTCGAATACTAATGAGGAGGACTAAACATGAACTGATTATAAAACTAATTGCACAGATGGAGACTAATTTGTGAGACGAATTTATTAAGCCTAATTAATCCATCATTAGTGTAGCACCATATTGTCAAATCATGGACTAGTTAGGTTTAATAGATTTTTGTCTCGTAAATTAGTCTCCATCTATGCAATTAGTTTTATAATTAGTCTATGTTTAATACTCTAAATTAGTGTCAAACATCCTATGTGACAGTGACTAAAGTTTAGAAAGGGTATCCGAACACCCCATAACTGGAGGCTCCAACTCTACTTTAATCCTCTTGGGCCCTGTTGGTAAAAGATAAAATTTAGAAATTCTAAAAAAAAATCAGAGACATCTAGCCATCTACTTTGCATTTAGTAGACTTTAATGGCCATAGATCTTTTTCCCTAAATATTTACCACAACTATCATAAGAAAAATAACCTAAACTAATTACCCCTTAATCTTAAGTCACAAAAAACACCTTATTCTTCATGAAAAGTACACATACATGCCATTATAAAATATAATGCTGCCTCTATTCTAAATTATAAGATGTTTTTGGCAATTCTAGATACATACATCTACTCATGCATGGCTATTGGGATGGTGAACTTAGGCCACGACCAATCACTACTGAAGGCCGCGGCTTTGCCGAGTGTTTTTACACTCGGCAAAGAGCCCTTTGCACTCGGCAAAGGCTTTGCCGAGTGTAGCACTCGGCAAAGTCCGCTCGGCAAAAATTTTCTCGGCAAAGGGTCTTTACCGAGTGCTTTTTATCGGGACACTCGGCAAAATAAAAAAAAATTGCCGAGTGCTTGGGGCGGCACTCGGCAAAATATTTTCATCCGTTGCGGCGCCGGTTGTTAACGGTTATTTTGCCGAGTGCCCGACCCAGCACTCGGCAATTTTTTTTAAATTACTTTGCCGAGTGCCCCAGCCTAGACACTCGGCAAAGTTTTTTTTTTAAAAGTACTTTGCGGCACTCGGCAAAGTTTTTTTTTTTAAAATTACTTTGCCGAGTGCCCCTGCCCAGGCACTCGGCAAAGTTTTTTTTAAATAATTTCTTTGTCGAGTGCCCCTGTTTAGGCACTCGGCAAAGAATTTCTGATTTTTTTTTAAAAAAATACTCTGCCGAGTGCTTGAGCAGGGGCACTTGGCAAAGTACTAAAAAAAAAAACTTTAAGGGCCCAAAACTGTCACCAGGGATGTTCCAACAAAACAGCAAGTTTCTAGGATTTCTATATACTTGTTTCTTCTTTTCTATTATTTTTGTTTCAAATTTATAATAAAAAAATGTTGTGCAATGGAAACGATCTCGTCTACCTGCGATGTACCTACTATCAAGCGGAAAACCAGAGTACTAGGAAAAAAGTGCCCATTTTCAAATAAATTGCTAACGGACTAAAAAAGAGTAGATTAATAAGAGAAGCAATGCATTTGGTGAAATTGTAAGAAGTTGTAAATTTAGTTTGCGCTCTAAAAATATGGCATGCCAAATACACAGTGTTGGCATGCACTCTGGCATAACCACTAGGGAAAATCTCTGACATTATCTTCATTTCACCAAACTTCATCAGTTCATATAAATATACTAGTAAATCAATATCACATGCAAAAGAAAAACTATTGAATGCACATGAGTCAAGGGAAGAGCACACGCGTAATCTTTTGCTTTGCTTATAAAAAGAAAAGTATACATCATGATAGCTATAAAAAAAATTATTGTTATCAGCGAGCAACAGAACACATCCGCTATGCACATCTTGTACTACTTGGCTAGAAGTAAAGATGTGAAAAGGCCAACCTGACTGTTTTGTTTTTCCAGAGGCAAGTATGGCATGCCATGGGAGATGTCTGAAGTGATCAAAATCCCCTTTATTGTGCTACTAACACCCAGCTCAAATAGAGACTTCACTGCCACAAGTGAAGTACAGGCTAGCTTAGCAAAGCCCAATCAGATTCTGCAACCACGAGACACAATAGTCAGCTGCCTCAACACATATCGAGCACACGCAACAAATTGTTGTAGAGAAAACATACACTGCATGTCGATGGGCTAAGGGCCGTGAGTCCACCAGTGTGGATCAAAGGTAGGACCTTCTCTATAACACCCTGGTGACAGAGCTGGTCCACAAGATCAACTGAAGTGCTAAAGGAGTCCACGATGCTTATCAAGCAAGCTGCAACCTTCTCCACTATCTGGAAATTGACATCACTTAGAAACAAAAGCAGAGCACTCTTTACATGCCAAAATGATCTCAGTTATATGGGGGAACAACAGTACCATTTTGTCCTCAGATTGCAGAAGATTACAGAGAGTTGGGACCGAATCCAGAACAAACTGGGAGCAATCTGCCGGGACCTTCTTGCAGGCATTTGCGACAGCTGACACTGCAACCCTCTGAACCATGGAAGTGGGCATCAAATTAGCAAATGTACTCAATTCTCAGTTTCAGAGGTGATTTCTTTAAGATTCTAACCTTAATGCTTGCAGCGAAGAAGTCAACGTATGCCAGCACAGCGTTGATCATGCCCGCCTGCAAGCACTGGGTAGGCTGCCGCCGTGATATCTTCTCAAAAGCTTGCAAGCACTGCATACGCAACAGAATGGTCGGATAAAACGCATCAGGGTAAATGTGATCATCCGATCAGGCCGTGAGAGCTTTTGGGTTACCTGCTCAGCTACATCGAGGTACTCGATGGCTAGCAGCCGGGAGCAGAGCACGGGGAGGAGGCCGTGGCAGACAACGGCATGGCGTCGCAGAGGTACGTGATGGCGCGCACGGACAGCAGAATCACGTTCGGGGTAGCCCCCGTGCCATCGCCGCCGCCGCCGCCGGCCCGCCGCACCAGCGCCCGCGCGGCTGCCTCCGTGGGGAAGTACCCGCCGGTGTCCTCCGCGCAGAACGACAGCGCCTCGCAGAGCTCCATGAGCGCCGCCACCACCGCGGCCGGCAACGGGGGTGAGCGCGGCTGGTGACGGGCGCGGTCGCGGGCGAGGCCGGCGGAGGGCGCGGGCGCGGGCGCACGCGGGCGTGAGGGCGGCGGGCTTCGCCGGCGCGATTCGCCAGGAGGAGGCGCTGGCGGCGGGGTGGGTGGGCGGCTGTGGTGGGTGTGGGTGGCGGGCGTGGCTAGGGGCGTTTTTTAGGGTTGGGCCGGTAGGCTTTTACTTGGCAAATTTTTTTTTTGAAAATCAACTTTGCCGAGTGTCCCTGGGCCGGCACTCGGCAAATTTTTTTTTTGATTTTGGGCCCAAATTTTTTTCTAGGGCCTTGTGACAGTATTTCAAACTCTATTTTAAAATTTGGGGGTAATTTTGACTTTTTTGATATATTTCATTAGTTTATTTCGTTTCGTCGAATTTTTTGGGATATTTCAAATTTAATATGCAGGTACATAGAATAATGGAATTTGGTCATCCAAAAATTGATACTCATGATATTTAGGGTGTGTTTAGGCCGTATCCAGGAACTCACATGAAATCTGTGATCTCGTTGGCGTAACATGTCGAAGTGTATGGGGAAATGTGATTTTAAATTATACAAAATGCGAAGTTCATGAAACTTGTCGGCGTCGTTTTTACCACAGGCTGTGGTAAAAATGTGAACAATACGTCGGATGCCAAAAACGAGAAGTTTCTGTGATTTTCACGGACTTGTGCTTGTATGGGTTTATAATTATTTTTTACATGTGATAAAAATCATATTTTCGCAAGAAGTACCGACATGTTACGCCAATCAACATGATACGTCTCGAGATTTCATGATTTCATGTGAGTTTCTAGATACGGCCTAAACATACCCTAAATATCATGAATATCAATTTTTGGATGACCAAAGTCCATTATTCCATGTACCTGCAGTTTAAATTTGAAATATCCCGAAAAATTCGATGAAACGAAATAAACTAATGAAATATATAAAAAATCAAAATTACCCCCAAATTTTAAAATAGAGTTTGAAATACTGTCACAAGGCCCCAGAAAAAAATTTGGGTCCAAAATAAATTTTTTTTTGCCGAGTGCCATGTGGCACTCGCCAAAGTTGATTTTCAAAAAAAAAAAAATTTGCCGAGTGCCTGGCGCTGGCACTCGGCAAAATAAGTTTTAAAAAATTTAATTTTTTTTTGCCGAGTGCCATGGGCTGGCACTCGGCAAAATATGTTTTTTTAAAAAAAAAATTTGCCGAATGCCTGGGCTGGCACTCGGCAAAATAAGTTTATAAAAATAAAAAAAATTTGCCGACTGCCAGCAGTTAGGCACTCGGCAAAATCTGACGGCAGGTGGCCGCCGTCACGGGCCGGCCACCTTTTGCCGAGTGGGATCTTTGCCGAGTGCTGCGGCACTCGGCAAATCCCAATTTTGCCGAGAGCCAGGCTTTACCGAGTGCCTGGCACTCGGCAAAGCCACCTTTGCCGAGTGTTTTATTTTGCCGAGTGCGGCACTCGGCAAAATATTGCTTTGCCGAGTGCCCCGATAAAAAACACTCGGTACAGTCTCAGGCACTCGGCAAAGTCCAGTTTTCCAGTGGTGAATCAAGCATGCGTAGAATGGGGCCAGGAGAGGGCAATGACATTGGAGCGCTGCATATCTAGTGGACAATTAGTCCACCATGATAACTGTTTTGGTATCTAGCTTAAATTCCTTCACGCTGGCCTAATAAAAAAAAGAATATGGAGAGAGTATTTCATAATACGGGGTGTTTGAATCAACTATAAATCATTTTATCTGATTATACTACTGCTACTATATAATCCAAAGGCGTGATCGATCCATGCCCTTAAGATCATTATCACATAGGGATTCAACTTCAAGACACGTTTTACCCTCTCCTTTAATTTCCCGTATCCCTTCTATTAAATTTGACCCTAATAACCTAAAGCGTTGCAAAAATGTGCATGCCAACTAACGTAACTATAACAATAATGGCTCATGTTCAGGAGGACCATTCTCTACCATCACCCCCAGCTTAATCCTCGAACACATGTACAGGACCAAACAGAGTATTAATGAAAAACAATTTTTTGTCTGCTCGCTAAGGCGGCCACGTTCAGTTATTTTGGAATGGGCCATTATATTCTAGGCCTGGAAATATTCCTCCATAGTATAAATTTATGAAGAAAATGTTTGGCTGGGAATCAATCTCAGATAACCCAACAGAGCCTAAATGGAAACATACAACGAGGACCAATTTTGGACGACACGGCCTAGCTTATTAAGGACGTGTTTGGTTTCAGTGAAGCCGGGCTCCTATATATTCGACGTCCAGGCTCCGGCCGGCCAGGCTTAACACATGCAGCTTCTCTTGGTTGGTTATCGGTTCTGTCTAGCCAATGCAAGCCACGGGAAGACGTTGTTTGGTTGCTCTCCTTTCCCGCACTAGGGTTCTGTCAGTCGGTAAACGTCATGCGCAAATACGCTGCACCGTACCACGGAAGCCTGGCCTGATAGAAACCAAACGATTTCTCGTATCCACAGAGACAACTTCAGGCGCCCGTTTTGCATGGCTTGGGACAGGCCCAGTGGCTAGCACAGCCAACCAATCATGCGCTAGCTGCATGTGGGGGGCCCGGTTGGACCGCATCCGAAACCAAACAACTCTTAGAGCAAGTACAACAATTGACTTATAACCAAGCTAATCAATGTTTTTGTTGATGTGGATGAGATAAGAAAGCTTGGCTCTCATGCAAACATCAAATTGGGCATAGAAGCATAGGTATTAGTGGGCCTAGATAGAAGTATATATGAGTATGAATAGAAAAGAGAATACAAGGCATGGTACCACAAAATAATAAAAAAAACCTTTTTATAGACAAATAAAAGACAATTATTATATAACTTAGATCTTATGACTTGATCTGTAGCCCAGCACTTGCCTTTATTATGTATGGACCTTGCTCTAATCCTCCTCGCTGCTAAATGCCAAGGCACGTACGCCTATCCTGAACCCTGATGGGACGTATACAATTTTGCTCCAAACTATACCACTATATATTTTTAGCCCATTCTCCCGTTCTTGACCAAATTAATGCCGGCGGCTGCATGCTCACTGTGCAGCCCTGATCGAACAACAGTTTTGACCAATAAACAGGTTGAGCATGGGCAAATGCAGAAGAACTGAATCAGGTCGGTCTGTATCCTGGACGTACGACGAGATCCATGCCATGGCCATGGTCAATTGGTCATGCATAGCCTCGCCGGCGACGACAGAGACCAGACAACCGTAATGTAAGCAGCCTTTGCTCGTAGCAGACAACAGTTTTATTCCACCCAACCCTCATCATCATATATATCGAATGCATGAATGCCCACGGCGCACTTGGGAAGTTGGAACAGCAGTTCTACTTCATCTTGCCGTGGTGTGGTCTTGACGCCGCTACAGGCACAGGCGACCCCCACGCACGCATGCATGCATGCTCCCACATGACTTGCTGGTGTCTTTGATGCCGTGCTCTGTCCATCTGTCCCCGTTGGTGTCTTTGATGAGCTTCTTGCAAAATGCGCTCGCCACTGCGTTCGCCCAATGTTCAATCCTGCGATATGGCAAACTGATGTCCACTTACATACTCGCTTCAGATGTTTTGGGTTTTTTTAATACATAATTTTTGCTAGACACACTAAGATATACACCATATCTAGATATATAGTAAAAATAATATATCTAAAAAAATCAAATATTTTATAATTTAAAACAGATGAAGCAGTTACATATGCATTAATTCTCTCATGGAAGATTTCGGTATTTGACACTCAATCTCAAACTCTCAATTCATGTACCATTAAGCCCTGTTCGGTTATCTCCGTTCCGGGCTGTTCCTGGCCGGAACTGTTCCAAAGTTATTTAAATTATTGAAGGAAACTTGGCTGGGAATCGTTCCCAACCCCAACCGAACCAAGCCTTAAGGATTTGACACACTGACCCGGGAGTCAACGACTTTTACTTCTGATAAATTCTGCGTATCAAATATTGAAGATATGTCTTGCACAGCACAGTTGCACCACACTCAGGGACATCATGCATGGCGCCACGGGCCTGCGTTGTCGGTGCTCTTCTCATTTTGAAACCGAAAGAGCACACCAAATTTGCCCATTCTAGAACTCTTCCTACATGCATGATGCATGCTACCAGCATGCCCTTGGAAGCCGAATTATTGGTCACTGCACGTCTGTAAGTAGTCACGTACGTATTTATGAGTACTATTACATAGCGGAGTATTTATATAACAATGTGTCGGCGCGAAAATGCGTCGACACACGGCAAGTTGGAAGGATCTGCTCGATGAAGCTGAAGATCCGCTTGGCTTCAATGCAGGGGTAACCGATCCTGCGAATTCCTCCCCAGGCGTGCCAGTCACTACGGGAAACAGTGACAATGCCGAGTGTTTTATGTTTGCCGAGTGCATTATATCGGGCACTCGGCAAACAACATATTTACCGAGTGTTTCCTCCAAGACACTTGGCATACTATTACACTCGGCATATTTATTATTTGCCGCGTGTCAACACTCGGCAAAAATCAGACACTCGGCATATCTAATATTTACCGAGTGTCAACACTCGGCCTCTAGGGCACACTCGGCAATAATCAACACGCGACCAGCGCGTGCGCCGTGCTGCCGGACGGCGTGCCGGCGTGAGGACTTCGCCGAGTGTCCGATAGAGACACTCGGCGAAGTATTTATTTGCCGAGTGTTTTATTCCGGCACTCGTCGAAGTGTATGGGTTTGCCGAGTGTTTATGGAGACACTCGGCGAATACAAAACTATTTTTCCCTCCTCGACCCTCCACAATTTTTCTACTCCCCACATACGACATTTGGTACTGCATGTTAAAAGTTGGTCTATTTCTTGGTCTGTTTGCTATATTTAGTGAATTAATTTCATTTTGAGTAATTTATTGATTTAAGTGAAATTTGAACTGCAAGTGATTGAAA